CCCTTCCCCTCCCCCATGAGTTCCTGTTAAGTTTCTCAGGATCCACATAAGAGTGAACACATGTGGTATCTGTCTTTCTCTGTATGGCTTATTTCACTTAGCATAACACTCTCCAGTTCCATCCATGTTGCTACAAAGGGCCATATTTCATTCTTTCTCATTGCCACATAGTACTTCATTGTGTATATAAACCACAACTTCTTCATCCATTCATCAGTTGATGGACATTTAGGCTCTTTCCATAATTTGGCTATTGTTGAGAGTGCTGCTATAAACATTAGGGTACAAGTGCCTCTATGCATCAGTACTCCTGTATCCCTTGGGTAAATTCCTAGCAATGCTACTGCTGGGTCATAGAGTAGGTCTATTTTTAATTTTTTGAGGAAACTTCACACTGTTTTCCAGAGCGGTTTCACCTATTGTTAATGCAAATGCTTATTCCCAAATTGGATTAGCTTGAAATGACAGGGAAAATTCGATCATGTTTAGTCCTGCACTCAGGGAAGTTATCAGCCTTTGTTGTCAGTTTAATATTCCCTCTGCTGTCAGGGCCAGTCTGAACCTTTGAACAAATAAAAATATGTGAATAAAGACTACTTTTCCATTTATTTTAAGAAATGTCTGGGGAAAAGAAAAATAACTGCTGAATACTCTTAGCAGCAGTAATATGGACTGTTTTAAAAGGTAGTGATTTTTAGCAGCAAAAACAGCTCTAATTTTTGATTCTTCTTGCTATCAATCCAATTATTTCCATGCTATACATACCTTTACACAAAAATGGTGGTATTATCTAGACCCTGTAATCTGCAGTCGCTTATCCTATTGTAAAAGTCACAGTTCAGGATACTTCTTTTATTTTTTGTATGATTCACTCTACACTTTGGCTCCTAATAAAGCATCTGTTGTCCAAGAAAATAATTTTAACTGTGGAAACTTCCACGTTTGTTTCAGGTCGGTCTTCTCTCTTTCCCTTTGAAGATGCCTTCCTGGATGACAGTCATGGCGATCAATCCTTGTCATCTGGCTTAAGTTCTCCCACTCGCTGTCAAAATGGAGAACGAGTAGAACGTTACTCCAGAAAGGTGTTTGTTGGAGGCCTTCCTCCTGATATCGATGAAGGTATGACGCATTCATTAATGACTTTATAAAGGCCAGATTTGTTCTTCGTGTGATCTGACCCTGTCTCTCCTCTCCAAGCAGCTTTAGGACATTCATATTTTAGTGTTCAGAGGATGAAAATATATGATAGATGGGGAAGTAATAGATTGTGCACTTCAGGTCTGCTGTTCAAATGTGTGTATATATAGCAGTCTCCTGACAGTGTCTTGTTTCCTAGGCCTTCATTTGGGGATACGTTTTAAAATAATAATGAAAGTTAATATTTATGAAACTCTCCATAGGCCCATTATTGTGCTAAGCGCTTCACATTACATTATCTCATTTAATCCTTATAGCTATCCTATAAGGCATATCCTACCAACTCCATTGTATAGATAAGGAAAGAGGCTCAGAGAGAGACAGTTTGTCCAAGGTTGTGTAGCTAATGGTGCACCTAGTGCTCAGAATTATTCTGATTCCGGTGCTTTTGCTCATATTTATCACACCATCCCATCTCATATTTTAATATATCGATTAGTAAAAAGCACCCTTTGCCTTTAAAAGAATGAAGACTAATTAGAATTTTTCTTAATATTTTTGAGATACCGTCAATCCAAAAGTGAGTTTTCACTTATGCTCGAAGCCAGTCAGCACATAGTAGGTTGTCAGTAGATATTTGTTGAATGGACAAATGAAATGTAATTGTGACAGAATTAGCCTAAGGGAAAAAACAACTCTAGTTCTGGTAGGTTTTGGATCTGCTATAAAAATATTATTAAAACAATTGCTTTGTCAGTATTGTTGTAGCTATGGCATTTCTCTAATTTATCATGATTTTCTTTTTCACGGTGATAAAGGAATAGTCTCTAAAAGTAATTTTATTTTAGGGGCACTCTGGGAGGCTCAGTTGTTGGGTGTCTCGGGTCATGATCTTATGGTTCGTGGGATCCAGTCCCATGTGAGGCTCTACCACTTGTGTGCATGTGCACGTACTCTCTCTCACTCTCTCAAAATAAATAAACTTTTAAAAAATACTTTTAAAAAGTAACAATAATTTTATTTTAGACTTCTTTCTTTAAGGTTGTACAGAGCTGGAGACTCATTTTCCTCCAAATTATTTTTATACTGGTGTTAATCTCATCTATCAATTGGATTTTTTTAAAGACAAAGTTTAGATCATGGCTGAGAGAGTGGCAACTTAAATCTGAGTGTGGGCTAAGTTATAACCTTCTGCTTTGAGTCAGAAGTCAGAAGGAAAAGGTAAATTTATTGAGCTATAACGTTGGAAACATTTTCTTCATAGGATGTGTCATAGGTAAGTATGAGAGAAATAGATCATTGGTTTTAACTTTTTATCATCAAATAGAATTACCTACTTTTTGCCCCTATTCCTCACCAAAAGAATTGTATCTTTTTTTTTTTTTAAGTTTATTTATTTTGAGAGAGAGAGAGAGAATCAGTGGGAGAGAAGCTGAGAGAAGGGTACAGAACATCCGAAGCAGGCTCTGTGCTGACAGCAGAGAGCCTGAAGCAGGGCTCTAACTCACGAACTGTGAGATCATGACCTGAGCTGGAGTCAGATGCTTAACCGACTAAGCCACCCAGGTGCCCCAAAGAATTGTATCTATTTCTAAAATAATCTCAGAGATTCATAACCTTAGATTACTAATAATCATAACCTAAGATTAATAATGTTAGATCTTTTAGAGTTTATTTTGCATAAGGGAAAGCACATTTTAAATATTTTGTAATCTTTTGCTTTTGCCTTTTTTCTAAATACAGAACATTCCTATTTTTAGAGTCTTTTTTTTTTTTTTTTTTTTTTTTTTTTTTTTTTTTTTACTTGACTGAGAGGTCACCTTAGTTAATGACAGATTTTTTTTCTTCCAAACTCTTTATATCAAATTTACTGGCAGTGAAGAGCAATGAATTATAGTTAGAAACACATTTTGCATGGTTGAAAGTGAATAACCAAATGTACCCAGCATACAATTGTATTTCACTTAGTAGGTTTGACTTCTGTAAAAATGCTTTAGAAATAGCTCTCAAAACGTTTTTTAAATAAAAAGACATGCTTTATGCTATTCTGTTTGCAGTATTTTTTTTTCTCTTATGCTAAGATTCCTTTTTTGTTTTATAGATGAGATCACTGCCAGCTTTCGCAGGTTTGGACCTCTCGTTGTAGACTGGCCTCACAAAGCTGAAAGCAAGTCGTATTTTCCTCCTAAAGGTAATGCACTTAAAATGTCTCCACTGCCTGCCTGTTGGAGAGCTAGCATGACAGTTTAATAAAATTATGACAGCCTTTTAACTCTTGAAATAGCAGTTGGATTTTTTCCCCTAATTAAGAAAATATTTTATTGTTGATCATCTTTTTGTGTCTTACTGTTTCCACTTGGAGACTGTTCCCCCCAGGAGCACATTCATTGTTTTAGGGCATCTATTTATTATATCAACGGTGAGATTTTGTGAGTCTTGTGTGAGTGAACCTTGTGCTAAGTTTTCATTATTTGAGAGGAAAAAAATCTAGGATTTTGAGCAATGTCAGTGAGTGGAGAGGGAAAGATTATTTAGAGTCAAATATTATTTGTATCTCAGTGTCCTCTGGTTTTATAGGTCTTATAAAACCCAAACTTTGAAAACCTAGTGGCTGAAATATGACATTGTATGAAATTACCTTTATTCATGTCTGTCTTCAAAAAAAATTTTTTTTAATGTTTATTAATTTTTGAGAGACAGAGAGTGCAAGCAGGGGAGGGGCAAAGAGAGAGGGAGACACAGAATCAGAAACACGCTTAAGGCTCCAGGCTATCAGCACAGAGCCTGATGCGGGGCTCAGACTCCAAGCCCTAAGATCTTGACCTGAGCTGAAGTCAGACACTTAACCGACTGAGCCACCCAAGCACCCCTATTCATGTCTGTATTTTAAGTGACTTAGTGTGTTGAGGGGTGGAAGGCAAACTAGCAAAGAATTCTTCACGTGAACTCTTCCCTTATTTTTGGTAGGCTTTTTTGATAATTTACGAAGACCTGAAAATATATTACTTTGTTCATAGTCTGTAATTTCTGCAGAATTCAGGGAACTTTTCTAGTGATATTAGCTCTGGGTAAACTCCTAGAATTACATGGAATAGTGTTTGGGGTTAAAAAGGAAGTTTTCTTCATCTGTAGCTATATTTCAAAGATGTGTTTCATCTCCAAAGAATTGTCTTTTTAATATGTATTATTGTGTAACATTATTCCTTCAAGAAGATGGAGTCAAAATACTTATCTTTCCTGTGCTTTGTACAGGAATTAAATTATAGCCTAACCTGGGAAAGGTCGGTGGCTTCTTCTTATGTCTGGTTTATTAGGTTTCTTTGCCACCTATATTTCTCCTCATTCTCTCAACAACCTGTGAAAATAATTACTCACTAAATATAAGGCTGTTTACTTTTAACATTTCCTTTTTAATTCTCTTCAAGAATTTTTAAAGTTAAAAAAATAAGTTTCATATTAAGCAGAAAAGATAAAAATCGCCAGCTGATTATTCCATTGAAGGTATTCACCACCTTGTGGTACATGTATAGCACTGTGTAAAAACACATGTTTAAAACATGTTTCTAAGAGTGCTAATAATTCCTTGAATCAGAGTAGTGTTATTTCAGTGAACGGATGAGTTCACCACACTGTGCCGCAGGTAATATGCTCTGTAAAGTCACATGTATTAAAAAATATTCCTAAGAGTACCAGTTGCATTTGAGCATTAAGACAGTGTCATCTCACTGAAAGAATGTGTTCACTACACTGTGGTACATGTAGCACACTATCTAAAATTGCATGTGTAAAAGATATTTCTAACAGTGCTAGTTGAAAAAAAATCATCATGCTGAGAAGGTATAAAAACACCTCTAGTATCAAAGGTGTTAGGTGATCTGATCATCATGAAAAATGAAGATAGGGGCGCCTGGGTGGCTCAATCGGTTAAGCATCCGACTTTGGCTCAGGTCATGATCTCACAGTTCGTAAGTTCAAGTGCCACATGGGGCTCTCCACTCTTAGCATGGAGCCCATTTCGGATTCTCTGTGTCCCTCTCTCTTTGCCCTTCCCCTGCTCTCTCTTTCTCTCTCTCTCAAATATAAACAAAAATGAAGATAAACCTGTATAGTCATGTCCAAAGAAAATTATCCAAATCTATATCTATCAGACATAATCACTATATACATTTTATTAAATATCCTTCTGTTGTCTCTTTATGAACATAAACATTTATATGAAATTTTGTAATTACATAAATGGGATCACGCTGTGCATGCTGTTTAATAACCTGCATTTTCCCCTCAGCAATGTCAACATCTTTCTGTAAGAGACCTACATTATCTTACTGACTGTATTTGATTTAATCCATCCTGTTAATGGACACTTAAGTTGCTTCTAACTGTTTTGTCTCAGGGATCACACTTCAGTGAATATCCTTATGCCTTCATCTTTTTGCCTTTATCATGACCTCTTAGGGTGAATTTCCAGAAGTGAGGTACATATTTTTTTATACAGATTGCAAAGCTGCCCTTAAGGAAAGTCATATATGGGGGTGCCTGGGTGGCTCATTTGGTTGTGTCCGAGTTTGGCTCAGGTCATGATCTCACAGCTTGTGAGTTTGAGCCCCATATTGGGCTGTGTGCTGACAGCTTAGAGCCTGGAGCCTGCTTTGGATTCTGTGTCTTCCTCTCTCTCTGCCCCTCCTCTGTTCACA